TTAACCGCATGTGTATTTGCCTACAACACTGGAGTTCATGCGACAACTGGGTACTCACCATTTCAACTAATGTTTGCCCGGCAACCCGTTTTACCCTTTGATGCACCAAAAGCAGTAATCATATTAACAAAGCCAAATGATTATTGGACACAAATCAATCGGATTTCATTGCACTATGGTCTCGAAGAAAAGTCCGAGTAAAACATAGTGCAATCGCAGATCACAAACGGCGACTGGAAAAATGTGGAAGTAGTACGTACCAGTGCAACATAGCATGCCTTCCGCACTGGTAGTGCCGGACGTTTTTCAGCACTATACTGGGAATTTTCTAAATAACGTACGAGTTTTGCTGGCTCTTTCCAATTTCTTTTGAATTCTTGTGCGATTCTTGTACGATTTCACAAACTTTTTTTGTCTGGGGAGACTGAAAAAAAGCCATTTATGCTATATATTCCCTCCTAGGACACATTTTTTCTTTGTACGACAGGAGCCATTTATTCTAGGAAGTAATAAATGGCTTAGCCATTTATGCTAAAGAACCTTTCCGGATAGACAAATTATGAAGGAGAAAGAGCCGTTTATGCTGGAGAGTAATAAATGGCTATCCCGTTTATGCCAGAGATTAATAAATGGCTATGCTAGGAAAAAAGCCATTTATCCTAGAAATTAGCCATTTATGCTAGACAACCTTTCCGGATAGACAAATTATGAAAGAGAAAGAGCCGTTTATGCTGGAGAGTAATAAATGGCTATGCCATTTATGCTAGAAATTCCCTCCTACGAGACATTTTTTCTCCGCACGATAGGGAGCCATTTATTCCCAAAAAAGTATGGGTAAGCTATTTATTCTAGAAACGACGCAATTTATTTATTTGGTAATAAATTGTAACTGCTGCTTTATAATTCACATTGGTTTTCTTTCTCAAATTTATTTGTGCTTCTATAGAAATACGAAATATTTGAAATATTGAAAAGTTTGGAAATGATAAAAATTCCGTAACGTCAGGCGGTATCTATATATATACATTTTCCTGAAAAAACTTTTCTACTGTGCATTTTGATCCAATCAAGAAATATTGCTTTCTTTTATGAATGGGGAAATTAAATATTTAGGAATAATCGTGTATATACTTTCCAATAAGGATTTGAACAAATTTGTAATTTGTAATATACGCAGCCAGAATTATATTTTTAGTATAAGAAAAGAAAACAGTTTAATTTGTGCAACATTTACATACAAGAAGTATGTCTAATTAGTTTCAAATGTACGTTGGTACTAGCGTATGAGAAAAAGTATAAAATACTGAACTACTATACTTTTTTATAGCATATTCTTTAAATTTTGTCGGAAATTAATATACGAACATTTCAAATCAACCCCGAATTATTAGTAAGAATACTTCGATTGGAATTGTTGAAGTTGAATCTCCACATTCAAGTTGTTTTTCAATCTCACCACTCACATCTTCATCGTCACTATCACCACAAAAACCAAATAATGAAGAAAATACGAAAATGTCCAACCAGGTAAAACGAACGATTGATGAAATGACATCTCAACTTAACCTTGACCAACGACAATCACTGTTACCTATTATTTACCAGTATAATTCATTATTTGATACATCCACACCAAAGATTGCAAACACACATATACATCACACAATACAAACAGGCAATCACAATCCGACCAATTCCAAGCCATATCGTGTTAACCCAGAGAAACAACAAGTCATCGATAGCGAAATAAAGTCAATGCATAAATATGGTCTGATTCGACCATCTCAATCAGCATGGCCTTCTGCTGTGGTGCTGGTGAAGAAAAAGGATGGAAAATATAGATTTTGCGTCGATTACCGACGTCTCGATCAAATAACAATGAAAGATTCTTATTCTCTGCCTCACATGGAAGATACAATTTTGAACAACTAGGTGGATCATCATATTTTTCAAAGCTTGACTTGAAGTCCGGCTACTTTCACCTTCCGATCGATGAGAAGGACAAACCGAAAACGGCCTTTATCACCAGCAGAGTTTTTTGGGAATTTAACGTCCTTCCTCAAGGCCTTAAAAATTCCCCACCATCTTTTCAAAGGGTACTCAACAATCTACTGGCAAACGGGCGATGGCAATTCTGCTTGATATATTTGGATGACATTATAATTTATTCAAGATCATTCAATGAACATTGTGAACATTTAAATATTGTTCAATCAGTACTAAATCAAGCGAATTTCTAATTCAATCCGCCGAAATGTTCGTTTGCAAAGCCTGAAATAGACTATCTTGGATATACAATCAATCCCAATGGATTTAAGCCACTCAACACCAACATCAGTACCATTATCAAAACACCTAATCCCAGAACAGCAAAACGTTCGTTTGTTCAAATGGCTAACTTCTATCGTAAATTTATACATAATTTCACCCAATTGACTCGTCCCCTTCGACCATTCCAAAAGAAAAATATGAAGTTTTATTGGGGTGAACAAGAAAATTGGCATAGATGGACTAAAAACAGCATTAACAACACCACCAGTTTTCTGAAATTTCCCAATATATGATGATAAACCGAAGAAGCCATTTCCATACGTTCTTTCAACAGATGCATCCAAATTTGGTATCGCGGGTGCTTTGAAGCAACAAACGCCTGAGGGACTCAAACCAATTGTATATATATATCTCGAACATTAAATGCAGCAGAAAGAAATTATTCAACATTCGAACGAGAATGTCTGGGAATTGTTTGGTCCGTAACAAAATTGAGAGACTATCTCACCGATGAATCCTTTGTCATTGAAACTGACCAACAACCAGCTCGTAACATTCATTTAAACCGTACATCAACCAACAGCCGAGTGAATAACTGGAAGATACAATTACAAGATTATGATATTATAGAAATTAAACACAAATCTAGAACTAAAAACTGTGATGCGGATTACATGTCGCGTCATCCATTAATCAATAACGAAGAGATTAATGATGATCTAGATGGTGTATGTGCTGCGATGACAAGATCAAAAACAAAGCAACAAAATATAACAGCACAAGATTCTTCTACATCATCGACTACATCATCATCTATCACATCTCCGAAATTTTTTCATTCTAAACACTTATCATCTCTTGATCCTGATCGATTAAAATCTGAACAAAATAATGATGCCGAGATTCAAGAGGTAATTCATGAATTCACGGATAAACCTGATGATCGTTATTCGATAGTAAATGGAATTCTTAACATACAATTCAAGAATGGAAAATATGTACCAGTGATTCCAATTACATTAAGAAATGAAATTCTTCATTCATTTCATGACCATCCGACAGCCGGTCATTTTGCTCGAGATAAGACGTGGTACCGGCTTCTACATCGATGTTTCTGGCCGACTATGCGTCAAGATGTGATTCATTATATTCAACCATGCTTGGCTTGCGCACAACACAATATCCGACGACATAAAGCTCCGGAACAAATGCAACTAACTGAACCTCCTGGTGAAGTTTTTGATTTAGTACAAATGGATTTTACAGGTCCACTCCCCAGATCAACAAATGGAAACCGCTATGTAATCTCCTTAACTGATTATCTCTCAAAATATGTAATTAGCAAAGCTGTTGCTGATGATTCAACAAAAACAGCCGCTGAGTTTCTTGTTGATGTATCATTGGAATTTGATCCTCCTCATCAACTGCAAACTGACCGTGGGACCCACTTCACAGCTGCAATCTTCGAAGCAGTTGCGATAAGATTGAGATGTGTACATACGTTATCAACACCTTATCATCGTCAGTCGCAGGGAGTCATCGAGAGATTTAATGCAACATTCAAACAACAATTGGCTAAATATACAAACGAACATTATGATGATTGGGATGATTACCTTAGAACAACGGTGTCATCTTACGATAGTTCGGTTCATCAAGTAACTTGATTTACGCTATTTCAAATATTTCATAAAAGAAAACCGGTCTCGATATTTGATCCTATAAGAAGAAAAGTCACCATTCCCAGAGCCAATGATTATTGGGATTATTTTCTTCGATTTGAAAAAGTTTATATGAATCACACACGACACAATATTCGACAACACCAACAATATGCAAAACAAAGGTATGATTCGAACCGACCCAATATACAATTTACGCTTGAACAACCAGTCTTTATTATCAAACCAGGAATGCACCCGGCATTTAGAGAATTGTATGAGGGACCATACAAGATCATCAGGCAATTGGGACCAGCAACGTTTGATGTTATCGATATTCATGACAGAGTGAAACGGGTTCATTCATCACAGATGAAACCTTTCCGCGAACGCGAATAGGCGAATGTGGTGAATCATATTACATTTGCTACAAGAAAATAGAATTACACAGGTTTATTCTTTTCATATGATGTATTGAGATGGTGGCAACTCTCCAAGTATGTACACTGATAATAATCATACGAATCCCAATGCGAGAATTATATGATGGCAAGGAAGAACCCATCAAAGAACACACTTTTTCTTGAAATTGTTCATTTGCTCCTTCCGTCGATGTGGTACACCATATCTGGTTGGGACGGGGAGGTGTAAGCGAACAGAGAAGATATTCGTTCGCTCTGTCGATCATATGTATAACATATGAGATTTTCCTTCTTTTCTTTCTGTCAATTATATTTTCATGAGATGTTCATCTTTATACATTCAAGGAGGAGAGTGCTCTCTGTAAACTTATTTCGTACTGCACTAACAGGAAGTGTGCACCCGAGTGTCCAACAACACACATGTGAACATAAACATATCCTTCAGCTCTATAGAAAAGCGCATACAATCCTCAAAACTTTCAAATCCCTCAACTCTATTGAAAATACATAGAAGAAGAGAATACATAATCTGCAGCAGTTACAATTTATTACTAGATAAATAAATTGCGCCGTTTATAGAATAAATGGCTTACCCACAGTATTTCTAGAATAAATGGCTCCCTATCGTGGAAAGAAAAAATGTGTTCTAGGAGAGACTCTTCAGCATAAATGGCGATTTTCCTACCATAAATGGCTATGCCATTTATTAACCTCCAGCATAAATAGCACAGCCATTTATTACTCTACAGCATAAACGGCTCTTTCTATTTCATAATTTGTCTATTCGGGAGGGTTGTCTAGCATAAATGGCTGTGCCATTTATTAACCTCTAGCATAAATGGCATCGCCATTTATTACTGTCCAGCATTACAGAAACAATGGCTATTTTATATCTCTCAACATTTAAGGACAGATTAAGTTAGGCGGTTTGATATTAGAGAGAGACTTGTACAAGGATAGTAATTTTTTAGTCATTCTTTGTGATTCTCGTCTTCTGTTCGCGTAAGCTATAGGTGGACCTATAAAATCATGTTTCGGTAAAATGCTTCATCGGCAAAATGCTTTTGGACAAACTGTTTTTATGCGAAAAGTTCATAAACTAGTGACCGCTCTCAACTCGATATTTCCGAGAATTCGAGAAGCGAAGTACTAATGTTGAGTGGATGATGAAAAAGAGATTATTGAAAGAGGAGATACTGTAATTTCGTATTTTATTAAAACAGTTTTAAAATATTTAAAAGATATATTTAAGACAATGAAACGTTTCGACCTCTTTTAAATTGAGATGTACTTCAGTGAACTTAATAAAATATGTATATAAAATATATAAAATAAAACTGTAGTTAAAATTGTTATATATAACGTGTGTATTTTAGATTGTAGTGTGACTGCTTCAACTTATTTCTGTATTGTTGCTGGTCTATTTTTTCTTTTCGTTCTCCTTTTCCGTTTTATCGTCTTTCGAGATTTAGCTATTGATTTTATCTCTCTCTCAAGGAATAGAATAAAGATATACTTGTTCGTACGAAAATAGAACTACCTCAAGCGAAATAAAATACATATTTAAAATATCTACAGAAACAAAGGCTATTTTCTATCTCTCAACATTGAAGGACAGATTAAGTAGGCGGTTTGATATTAGAGAGAGACTTGTACAAGGATAGTAATTTTTTAGTCATTCTTTGTAATTTCTCGTCTTCTGTTCGCGTAAGCTATCGCTGGGCCTTTTCGAAAAAAACAAGTTTCGGCAAAATGCTTTTGGACAAACTGCCTTTGGGCCAAAACTTCATAAACTAGCGACCGCTTCCCCCATGTTCCAGGAATTCAAGAAGCGAAGTACTCATGCTGAGCGGATGCTGATACTGAGATTATTGAAAGAGGAGATACTGTAATTTCGTATTTTATTAAAACAGTGTAAAAATATTTAAAAGATCTATTTCGGACAATGAAACGTTTCGACCCCTAATTTGTCACGGATAGACAAGTTATGAAAGAGAAAGAACCGTTTATGCTGGAGAGTAATCAATGACTAACAAATGGCAGAGCCATTTGTGCTAGGAAAAAAGCGGTCAAACCAAGTTATCCATAAAGTCTAGCCATAGATTTATGGATGACTTGGCTATAGAGGCATCCATAAAAACTGAAATAAGATAATGGGGACCTTAGTTACAGGAAAAGTATTTTCTCTTATAAAAAAACTGAAATAAAGAGTTTTATAATGAGCATAGTAGGAAAATAGGTCTTATCATTGTCTACTATTTGTTAGACTATGATAAGACCTATTTCCTTTTCGACAGGAAATTAATTAATTAATTAAA